CTTCTCTTACATGATTTTAGTGGGGTCATCGTTTTGTTCAGGGGGAGATAACCAGGGCGGTGGAGAGCTCTCGAGCGATGAGTTGCCGGTCCTCGGAGGACGGTGGTGAGGACGGTGGTGGCAGCGCTGGGCTGGGGCCATGCTGCTACTGCTACGTGGCTGCGTCACATGCACTGCTCGTGGTATTTACAGCTATGTCTCCATATATTTCACCTACACACAGCTAAGGGGGGTCAGAGGCAGCGCAGATGGCTTCAGTATGTTGGTTGGTTTTCCCTTTTTTATTAAAAAAAAAGTAAATTATGTATTAAAGTCACAGTCTTCCTCATCCCCCAAGGCTTGAAGAGTTGGAGTGGAAACCAGCCCGGTGGGATCTTGGCTTCTGGTGAGACTCCGACTGATGCAGCAGGTCTGGGGGATGGGAGGGGGTGAGGGATGCACATGGGGGTGCACAGGACAGGGTGCACAGTGGTGTCTACAGGTGTGCACACCTCCACCTGCTCCCCAGGGAAGGCTCACTGACTGCAAACAGGAAGATTTCAGTGCTCTTTCCAATTCCTTCTTTTTAAACACATTTCCATGTAAGGCAAACACCACCCTGTGCCTGCTTGGACCCCAAAATGAGACTGACTCAAGAGTCCAGATCCTGCCAGTGCTCCCAGTGGGACATCCACACCCCACCCAGCTCCCTGCTAATTAAAAGCATCCCAAGACTTCTCCCTTTGGCTACAGGAGCAGGGAAGGACCTGTCTGCTGACACTGACACATCCATTAGGAGAAAGGACTAATTAAAGCTGGAGGTCACTCACTTGGTGAGTGATCCTGCAGACCCATCTTGGCCCTGGTGCCAGCTTCACCAGGGCATGGGCCAAGCACAGCTGCTGTGGTGGTGGAGGTGGTCATTGGAGGTCCCCGGTCCAATGTCCCTCCCCACCACACTGCTGCTTGCTTATCCGAGCCCTGAACCTCCCAAGGACTCAACTGTCCCTTCCTGGGGACCTGTCCCAGAGCTCCACATCCCTTCAGGGGCAGGGGCTGGTCCCATGTCCATCTGTACTCCCTGAGCTGTGGCTGCCACCAGGTTTCCCACCATCTCCCCACCTTCAGCTGAGGCCAGGATGCCCTTTAGGAAACAGGAGCTGTGGGACCTGCTGAAGCATCCGATGGCACTGGAGTGAGCTCAGTTTTGGCACTTTGTCCCCAGGCTCAGGACAACCTGCACTGAGGTCCCAGCCTGGGAGCTGGACCCGCAGAGCAGCGACTCCAGTGCAGGGACATCCCCATCTGCAGTCCAGAGCTCTGCTCCACTGCAGCACTGCCCCAAGCTGCTTCACTGTGCCAGAACCCACAAATCCAGGGGAGCCAAGTGGAGCAGGGAGCACGAGGCTGCCAGGGAGTTTGAGCTGGGATGGGGACACCAGCTCATGCCAGAGCTCCAGTACAGACTGGGCTGAACCGGGCAGGGCTGCTGGACCCTCTCCCAGCTGCAGAAACCTGTGTTGGCTTTCCAGCTCAGGGGCTTGGTCCAATGGTGGGAGATGTGAAGCTCTTGCCCACTGTCAGGGACATGGCTATGGCTTATATCCCCAGGGGGAGAGGGACGGGGTGGATTTGGCAGCCTGGTGGGGAGTACAGCTCGTGGGGGTAGCAGCTCATGGGAGTCACAGACTTTGGTCCCTTGTTGGCCCTGGGCTTGCTCTTGCCATCTCCATCTTCATTGGGTGGGCTGTGGTGGTGAGGCTGGAGCTCCCTGTAGCCCCCTGGCTGCCCCAGGGCTGTGCTGAGGTGCTCACAACGGGGCTGAGCCCTGGAGATGGTCTTTGGGGAGTCACCTGGCACCACCCTGGGGGGGCTGCCCTTCTCACAGTTGAAGACCTCTGCATAAACCTGCCTTGTGGAAGCATCTACAGGTTTCACCAAGCATGGTGGGACACAGATGCAAATCACCCAGCTCTGTCCTCACTTGGCCTCTGGGGACACAGCAGAGGGGGTGCTGGTCCACATGGCACTGCCAGTGCATCCACATCCCACCGTGTTCTCCTCCAAGCAGCACCCTAAGGGCTCCCTTTGCTCAGACTGACCCCTGCAGCTCTGGCTGCAAAGCCAAGGGCTCAGCATCCCACAGCCACAGCAGGACCCGCAGGCCCTGAAAACCTCTCCCCAGGGAAGCCAAACCTGGAGCTGGCCACGGGCACTCAGCCATCCCTGGGGAGGACCAGGGGGAGGCACCTGGGTCTCTCCAGAGAGTCTTTGCCACTGTTTTGCTGTCCCACGCCCTGAGCAAGCACAGTGGGTCTGGTCATCTCACAGCCTCAGTCTCCAGTACCACATGCCATGGTTCCCACGTGATCCCACGGGAAGGATGCAGCAGCAGAGCTGCAGGCTGGTGCCGTGGCCCCGGGGCAGGCCCCGGGCGTGCCGGTGGCTCTGCCCCGGGAAGGGAAGGCGAGCGGAGGCGATGGGACATGCAGCAGAGGGAGCGATGCTGAAGAACGAAAAGAACCATCCGTGTCTTTAACCTCTTCCCCTGGAAGCTATTGGGACTGCCTGGAAACCCTTCCAGAGCCGTCAAAGGGCATTTCAGCGTGAAACAGAACAAAGAAACCAAAAGAAGGTTGCGGAACTGAGGTATCAGTAGCTCTGGTCGCGTCTGTCCGCAGAGCCGTGCCGCCGGCACAGCTGCCTATTTGTTCTTCCCAAGAGCTGCATCCACTTCCTCCTCTGGCTTCAGCGAGTGCCACTGGGCAATGGGCCGCCGGGGGTTGGCCAGCATGTCGGACCAGTGCCGCAGCTCCGTGCCCGTGGAGTTGAAGCCCGTGAAGATCTTGCCGATGGCTTCATTCTTGCCCAGCTTGTCGTAGTCCAGCACAGTGATCACCACTTGCACTTTCTAAAGGAGGAAACCTTCTTCAGAGAGGTGGAAAGGCACAACGGCCGTAACAGATCCATGGCCCCAGGGAGCCCCAGGGTCCCCCAAGGCTGAGCCCTGCTGTGGGCTCTTTTGGGGAAGGGCCCCCTCTGTGCTTCCTCCATGTCCTTCCCAAAGAGCCCAGGACTGCGGAGCCAAGGTGGAGGCCAAGCTCATCCTGACCTGTCTCACCTAGGAAAGGTCACCAAGGTGTGGTGACTGGGCCAGGTGCCTGTGGGCTACTGGGCAAGGGACACCTACAGGCGTTCAGGACATGGACGGGCAGAAGGCACCAACCAATGGTCCAAAATGCCCCTAAGCCCAGAGTAGGGTCCCTGTTATTTCTGGTGTGAGCAGTGTAGGATCAGGAGCAGAGGAAAGCCCTGTTCCAACCATGGGATTGAAGTTGTGTCTACCATAGGTGTTGCTCAGCCTCCCACCTCTGCCCCTGCACCAGCTGCCCTCAACATCAGCCCGGGCCCAGGGTGGCACTGGGTGTATCTTGTGGGTGACTGGACCAGGAGCTTGACAGGAGCCACTCAGACTGCTGAGAAGGCTGGGACACGGGCTTGGGGAGCTCCTGGATGTTTCCCATTTCCTCCCCTTTGCCTGCCTCCCAGGGCAACCATCAGACAAACCTGTATCTGCTCAAAGGGGATCTCAAAGCTGAAGGACTCGTTGAAGTAGGGATTCAGGGTCTTCTTCTTGACTGTGGTCTTCTTCTTCTTCAACCTCTTGCCATTCTGCAGCAGGTGGATCTTCACGTAGGGATCTGGTACAGGGAGGAAGGTTCATCAGCCAGGGCTGAGATGCCCAAGGGACACCATCAGCCTGGCCCCAAGAGGCATCTCAGCCCAGGGTGAGGTATAGGCCTCCAGGAGTTAAGGTGCTCTGTGGATGGAGGCCAAAGCCAAAATAGTTGGGCTGGAGAGGATTTGTGGGAGCAATTGGCCAAGGGATGGAGCTCTTCCGCATGCAATGGAGCTGGGGATGGGTCTAGAGAGTAAGTCATATGAGGAGTGGCTGAGAGAGCTGGGGGGGTTCAGCCTGGAGAAAAGGAGACTCAGGGGGGACACTCCACAACACCCTGACAGGATGTTGTAGCAAGGTGGGGCCTAGCAAGCTCAAGATGAGGTGGGGAGGTTCAGGTTGGACATCAGGAAGAATTTCTTCACTGAAAGGGTTGTCAAGTATTGGAAGGGTCTGCTCAGGATGGTGGTGGAGTCACCATCCCTGGAAGTGGCCAAGAAACAACTGCACATGTCACTTAGTGCTGTGATTTGCTTGACATAGTGATGTTAGTCAAAGGTTGGACTCGAGGATCTTGGAAGTCTTTTCCAACATTAATAATTCCATGATTCTATGCTGTGGGCCCCCTCGTAGGAGGGCTGAGTGACAGCTGGCCTGCCAGCTGAGTGTCATCTGGTGGATGCTGGCCTGTCACCCCCATTTCTGGAGCAGGACACCCCACAATAAAGCTGAACCCTTCCAGCCATGAGGGAACTGCTCTTCTGGTTAAGGCAGGTCTGGGGAGAAATGAAGCCCCCTGGGCACAGAGCTCAGCCTCAAGATGGGGTTGGGAAGACTCTTTGAGCATAAAACAAGCTGCTGCCTGAGGTGCCTGGCCCCCAAGTCAAGGAGGAGCAGGACCAGAAGCAAATGACAGAGGAGCACTTTCAACACTCAGGTCCTGTGGCATCCTGGTCCTGGACACAGTGAGGGCCCAAATTCAAAATGCCCTTCTGAAGTGTTGCAGACTCATGCCATGCCCATCTCCCCTCACCCCCCAGCCAGACCTTGGGCTGCCTCCAATGCAGGAGGAGGACCTGGAGCCCTGCCAGACTGATGCCCCCAGTGTACTTCCTAAACAAAGGATGCTGAGAGCCCCCATCAAGGCAGGAGGAGGATGGACCTGAATGACACCCACCTGAGAGACCCCCAACATCCATCTTCTTCAGGTTCTTGGCCTCCAGGATGCAGACTGTGAGCTTCCCGGCCGTGGGCACATACCGGAGGGAGATGCAGATATCTCCCAGCTTCTCTGGCTGCCAAGCAGAGCAGGGAGCGGATGTCAAAGCCTTGTCAGTGCATCAGACCATGGTGCTGAGACACAGTCCTGCATGCAGGTCCCCCAAAGCCTGCTCAGCCCATGCAGGCACAAGCTGGCACCCTGTGCACTAGCACAGGGGTTTGATAACTGAGTATGGGGCTGCCCAGGTCCAGCACAGCACTCAAGAGTGCTTCTATTTTAATTAATAAGAGGTTTTTACAGAGAGAAACAACAGGGCAGATCCTGCCTAGCACTCAAGGTTAGGTTATGCATGGTATCCCAGTGGGACCCCACAGCAATTGACACCCTGAGCACTGTGGAATGGGTCCCAAAAGCAGAGCTCAGCCAATGGCCACCCACACCTCAAACGACACCCTGAGCACTGTGGGATGGGTCCCAAAAGCAGAACTCAGCCAATGGCCACCCACACCTCAACCCTCAGCCAGGGTCTGGTTCTCACCTCCTCCTTCTCGCCGCTCTGCAGGTCCCTCCACTCCTCGATGGGCTGGCCCAGGTCCACTGTGTTCATGGGCACCTTCACCTCACCAATGATGTCATGCTTGGAGAAGCGATCGAAGTCATAGATGGCCATCACCAGTGTCTTCCCACCCAGTTCCTGGTAGGGGACCTGCACAAAGAGGGAGAGCAACTGGCTGACAACAGGCTCAGAGGACCCCAAGGCAGGACCACCTACTCCCAGGAGTGAAGGTCAGTGTATGGGACTGGTACAGTCAGGGAGAAAGATGGGAGTGGGAGACGAAGTCCCATGTTGTGGGTGAAGGGACTCACCTTGAAGGTGAAGGTCTCATTGAAGGCAGGGTTGAGTGTCTTCTTCTGCACTTTGGTCTCATACTTTTTCTTCTTGTCAGGGAGCAGGAACACCTTGACGTAGGGGTCGGAGGTGCCTCCCATGTCCAAAGCTGGCAGTTCAGCAGCTTGGAGGATCCCCACAGACAGCTGGAGGGGGCAGAGGGGTGTCCTCAGTGAGACAGCCCAGCCATGAGCTGCAGATGCTAAGGGCAGATCTCCAGTCCAGCATGGGGCAGGACTCCCCATGGCACACCACTCAGCTCCTCCCTCACACAGCGTCCAGATCCCACACAGAGACTTTTCCTTTCCAACCCACCCTGGGCAAACCCCACTCTTCAGCCAAGCCCCAGCCCCTCCATCACCTGGTTCGCCTGGAAATCGTAGTCCAGCGAGAACTGCAGCTTGCCGAGGTTCTCTGGCTCCTTTTCCTCTTCCTCACCTTCCCCTTCTGTCAGACCTGCCTCAGCATCATCGTCATCCTGTTGGTTCTGCAATGGCAGCCAAGGTGCTGGCTCAGAGGCAGGTCACAGCAGGGACAGTCCCCAGCTCAGAGGCAGGTCACAGCCCAGTGTCCCTGTCGCCACACTGCTGGGGACCTCAGCACCACCACCCTACTGGCATCTCAACACCCAGGTTCTCCCCCTGAGGCGAAAGGAGACCCCTGTGTGGGGGACATGAAGCACTGATAGAGCAGTCTGGGGGTGGCACTGGCTCTGCCCACAGCCTCACAGCTGCCAGGAGCCCTCAGTGCTGGTCCATACGAGATGGCATTAGTGGACTGACTGCCCTGGGGCACCAGGAGGTGGGCTCAGCTCCAGTGGAGGGATGTTTGGTGCTTGGTCCTGTACCCCCCACCCCATGTTTGAGGGAGTACTAGAGTCAGTGCTAAGGGCTTAGCAGGGCCTTCTCCAGGTTTTGTAGGCTCTGTAATAGAGGTATATACCAATTTTCCGCAGGCAAAGCCATCCCTCTTCCTGCCTCTCCAAGCTATGGTCCATGGGGTGGGAATCCTAGCTCCTTATCCCCCCTCCCCAGGTCCCCCATCCCACCCAGGAAGCAGATGATGGAGGAGGCTCATGGTGACACTTACCACGGAGGACATGCCAGGATGGAGAGGGACCAGGCAGCCAGGGCAGCAGGGTGGAGGATGACGAGGGTGCCAGGAGGGAAGAGAGACACGTTACACAGAGCACTGAGATACCCAAAGCAAGGTGGGGAATCAGGGTTTGTACGACCCCAGGAAGCTCTGGGGATGCAGCTCTCCCTCTGTGCTGGGGAATCCCACCCCACATCTCCCACCACTGCTGCTCCAGCCCTGCCTGTGTGCCCGTGGTGCCCATGTGTGCTCTGAAGAGCAGGAACATGCACCCAAAAATCACCTGAGTCAGGCCCATTGAAATGGTTGGGGTGCCCCCAAGCCTGTGGGTTCCAGAGCTCCCTTGGGCTGGCCCCCAGGGTGGGAAGATGTCCCCAGCTCTGCTCCAGGCACCAGCACCTGCCTCTTGACCACTGAATTTTTAGGAACCCAAACTGACAGGTGTTTTGGTGGCCCTTTCCTCTCAGCTAAAGGCTCAGTAAAGCGAGGGTAACCCAGAGGGAGGTGGAGAGACACAGGGGATTAAATTAACATTTTCTGGTTCAGGTGAAGCATTGGCATATCCAGGCCAGCTTGAACCTGGTCCCATCCAGGCCACCAGGCACTGGAAGAGGACAGTGCTGCTGTCTCAGGTCATGGCTCATGTCTGCACTGCCCCATCCCAGGGTCCTGGTGGCCCCATCCCAATCTGCTGCCTGACCTATGAGTGCCCCAACACAGTTCGTAACTCATCTGGAGGGATTGTTGGCCAAGCAGCCTAGAAGGACATCACCTGGTTGCCTGATTTCATGTCCTTCATGTTCATGGCATTCTTCATTCCTTTGCCCTTCTCCTTCTTGTTCTTCTTCTTCTTACAGCAACACTTCTTGCAGATGCAGAAGCAGCAGGTGAGGATGAGGAGTCCACCCACCACTGCGATGGCGATGAGGGCCCAGGGCGGCACTGTGGGCGAAAGCCATTGGCGTGACCAGCCCTGTGGCTTCCTCCCACCCACCCCTAAACCTTGCCCCACAGGCTGCACTGGGACCAGCACAGTGGTGAGGTCATCAGAAGGGCAACACCTGGGAAAAGAGCAGCTACTCACAGGGGATCTTGTTGAGCTCATTCATAAACTTGTCCCTCAGCTTGGTGAACATGTCCTCCTTGCTCTCGCCCGCCCCCGCGGCCTCGGTGGAGTTGTCCATGGTGCTCGTGTGTATCGTGGTGGCCGTGGCCTCTGGGGCTATCATGGATGCTTGCTTGAACGTCATGGTGGGTCAGGAGCCCCTGAAACACAACATCACCTTGGTGGTCACACGGGTCCCTGCTGCCCCCACTCCTGCCCATGCTCCAGCAGCACTGAGGACAGTGTCTGCATGGACAGGGCAGCAGCAGGACACGTCCTCTGCTAGAGGGGCACAGACCCAATGGCTGTGACAGGTCAGACACCTGGATCCCTCACAGGCAATAGGAAGTCCAGTTGACCTCTGGGTTTCCTGGCTCTTGACATCTCTAAAGTCACCAGGAGCATCACCCAGCATTGCATCAATGATAATGCCAGCTCAGGGCCTTCTAGGGACATCAGGAACACTTCTGGGGGAACATTCTCCCAGCAGCAGGGCACTGTGCCCTTGGGAACATCTCCTCACCCCAGGTCCCAGTCTCCACTCTTCCACCACCTCCCTGGGTGCCCTTGGTCACACCTCCCATCTCCACTGCACACAAGCAGGGCAGCCCAAGCCCTGAGCTGCTCCAGCCCCACGGCACAGATTCCCAGTCCAGGGGACCCATGTCAGCCCTCTGTCCCCATTACAGTCCCTGTACCAGTCCCTGGCCCTGGCCCAAGCCCTGGTCCTATCCCCTGGCCCTGTTCTCTGTCCCAGCCCATGTCCCTCCCTGTTCCTGTCCCATCCCAGCCCCTGTCCTAGCCCCC